TTCAAATCACACAACAAATTGAAGTGAGAACTATCTCGCAATGTTCTTATTTGACAATCAACAGTTAGTGGTTAGCGTTAGCGGATTTGACCAGCGAATTATATCAATGGATGGTAAAAAGATATTTGAAAAAATTAACTTTTTAGATTAACATGTAAAATGATCTAAGGGTATACATATAATAATAATAATAATAATAATAATAATAATAATAATAATAATAATAATAATAATAATAATAATAATAATAATAATAATAATAATAATAATAATAATAATAATTGTTTTTAAAAAAATAAAAAAAATTAAGCCAATCATATTAACTACTTGGGAGATTTATTGACAAAAAGAGTATTCAAATCACACAACAAATTGAAGTGGGAAACTACCTCGCAATGTCTTTGTTGGACAATCAGCAGTTAGCTCTTCAATATTAGTATATATTTAATACTTTATGCCCTAATTTTTATTTTCTCTCCCTTATGTCCCGTATTTGGTTTCAACCATACCTATACAATTATTTTATTGACTATAATCAATCTTGACTATATTTGTGACAACCCAAAATTTAATTTTATAAATTCAGTTTTTAAGAAATTCCAAAATAGCCATTTTCACTCTATAAAAATTTTTGCGATGAAATTGATGTTTGAATAAAGTATTTTGAGCCACTTTTAAGTAAATTCAACACCGGAACTTATTTCAATTCCAAAATCCTAAATTTTCGGGTACTTCGCTTACCACGTTTTAAACTGAGAAACCTATCTGAGTGAGACCGGGAGAAATTCGAGAAGCCTAAATCAAGTGTTTGACTAGGAAACATTTTTGGGAAAATTATCTTTCAACCCCAAACCTACCTTAAATATCAATTCTAGCCTTGGTCCATAGAGTATGGTGAACCACACCACTCTAAGAGCTTTTGTCTGATGCAACTTTCTAGCCAAGCTTTTACCATTTTTCCCTCCACCAATCATTGTTGAATCACCTAGGTTTTGAACCACTATAAGATGAAGAGTTAGCAGACATTTTCCTCTTGATTCTCTTCCTTGTCTTCCCCACACAAACTCCCTGAAAGAAAACACAGTAAGTTTCCTAACATTCCATTTCTTAGCTTTCATCTCTGAGATTCTAGTTCTTAAGGGTTGTTGTGTGGTTTGTTTGAGGTGTCTAGGAGGTGAAGGAGGTAGTGGCTGACTTGGGAAGAATGAGGAATCCCAACAAGAAGATAAAACAACAAAGGTATAACCCCATGGACTCCCATCTTAAGTTTTGGCTCTGTGAAGCCTTGTTTCATAGGTAGAAATGAGTAGAATGCTAGATTTTTGAAGTGTTTGAGCTATGAGGTGATCTATTACTTGTCTATGATGTGTTGTTGATGATTTGGGAGTGTTTGGTTGCCTGATTTTGTCTTACAGATGAAGGAGAGACTCACTGGTGCACAAACCAGTGTGCACCAGATGAGACACGGGACTAGCCAACGGCCCTAGGCAGGGACCGTTGGCAAGTCCCGTGGAGGAGCGGCCCCAGGGCACGGCTCCAGGTCAGAGCCGTGGCCCTAGGCCTCTGCCGAGGCGGTCCCAGGCAGCAGGGTTCCTCTAGCCCCGCCGCAAGCCCCGTTGATGTTGTCCTGTGCAGTGGTTCAGCTACGTTTTGTTTTGGACCGGGTGTCACGGGCCCTTGGGGCTCGGTACCATAGGTCCGTCATGACGCACGTTTGGGCTTTGATTTCGTTGAATTTGGAGTAGAAATGAGCATTTTGTGTTCGAATTTGTGAAGAAGTATGTTACAGAGAATTGTTGTGAAGGTTTACTGATACGAACTCGTATCAAGCCGGCACCGCTTTGAGTGGATGCAGACTCTAGAGTTGGAATTAGGGGAGGGGAAAATCAGAGAGAGATAGAGAGAGCGGGAGAGAGAGGGATTTTAGAGAAGGAAGATGATAGCATAGAAGAAAAAGATAATAATAATTCGCATGTCTTTCCCCCTAGCATGCAAGGTGATTATATACTAAGTTACTCCTATTATGCTTAGGACTATGATTCCTAATTAATATGATATAATAATTTATTAGGACTAAACTAATGTGTCCTATTACGAATAAACTTAGTCTAACAAATGTAATCAGCCATCCATGCCGGTTTCCTTCGTTTTCTCCTTGGCCTAGTAGCATGGGTTGTTCTTGATTTTCACCTTCTTCTGCTGTGGATATACTCGTATCATTTACAGTGAAGAAATTGCTAATTGTTGGTTTTGGCTATTTATTTGAGAAGCATGAGAATTATATGAGTGTTAGATAATGAAATATGATCAATATTTGTTAAGTTTTGTTAGAAAAGCATGCCTAGGGTGTATGTTATGATCCATAGAGATTATTGTCAAATTCCAAGTATTGAAGTCTACAGAGCATGTTAGTCTTAAATGTTATTATCCAGAGAATGAGTTTAAATTGAGCAATTTGAGTTCCAAATGCATGAGAATTATTTGATATTATTTGTCAGATTATGAATTTCAAGCATGATTATGTGTCGTTTGAGAGTTCACAGTAATTTATGGAAGGGAAGTATGTTGTACAGTAAATTGCATTCCAAGCATATCATGTTTTAAAAGTGCATAAGTGGCCAACGTGAGGCTAAGTATTATTTTTCAAAACTCATGAGCATGTGGAAAGTCTTTATCTTGTTGCATTGAGAATTTGTTGAGAAGTGACATGCATAAGTTTGCATAAATAGAAGAGTTGTCTGAGATATATATACTATCTATATAAGTGACTAAGTGAGGTTTTGGAGGAACCGTTGGGATTATGTCCTTTCGGAGTAAAAGAGAAAGTAACGGACATTGCGATCCGACAGATTTATCATGTAACGTGGTGTATTCCACGTTACGATGTTGGTGACTGCCCACCAGGCTTGGAATCCTGGTTAGGGGGTGTGCACACTAAAAGTACGATACCTGATTCCACAGAGAAAGCAAGCAAGAAAGAAAGATAAAGAACCAAGAAAGTGGTTCTGTGGGCGAGTTGAGTATGTGACCGTCTAGATTGCCGAGCCGGTTAGGTCCATTCACGATTTGTGAAGACCTACCTCCCCAAGAGTTAGAGGTTCCGTAGCTACGGATGTGGCGGATGCACGAGATTGCACCGTACGCTAGGGCTTCGCTGCGGCGGAGTACCTGCCTCGCACAAGAAGAGAAACGAGAAGTATGAGAAAGTTTGAGCAAGAAATAAATCGAGTCAATAGACTCAAGAGAAAGAAAGCGAGTCATTGTGACTCTAAGAAACCTCCACAGAAAGGTATTCTATTTTACAAACGAGTGTATGAGTATACTTATAGTATTGCACGAGATTGCATAATGAGAATGTTTGCACGAGATTGCATTTGAGTATAGTATTGCACGAGATTGCATTTGAGAATGGTATTGCACTAGATTGCATTTGAGAATGATTAACCAAGATTGTATATCGAATATGATTGCTTTAGTTGCAATTTGATGTCTTATACATCTAGTTTACATGATGAGAACTTGAAAGCATGAAGATAATTTTGTATTGATTGTTGGCATGCAATTGATTGATAGCATGAGTTCGTTATGATGAGTTTTGTTATGAGAAATATGTGTTGGTGTATTTATGTTGATGAGTTATATATATTGAAGCATGCATGATGATATTATAGGTTGCGAGCATATAGAAAGTCTGTGATGTATCTTAAAGTTGTCTAAGTATTGAGATTGCTTGATTAGAGTTTGTGAATAAATGTTTTTCAAAAGTATATATTGTAGTACTTTACAGGGTTGAGTGTGGTTATACTTAGCTTCGTGCTAACGGGTGTTTTCCTACTTGTCTACTTGTCGTTTTGCAAAACCCCTTTCAGGTGGGCCCAGCGTTTGAGAGATGAACGAGTTAGACTAGCTTAGTAGATCTAGTAGTCTAAACTCTTATTATTATTATGATGTTTATTTGATGGATTATAGACTTATGATGTTTATGTTTGGTGATAGACACCAGGATGTTTTTCCCCTTATGACTTTAAATTAAGTAATTTAAATGTTAGTTTGATTTAATGATTTAGTTCCATCCTTAGCCTGTGCAATCACCGTGGAGAGGTGGTTGTGGCGGTGACATTCCCACTAGTTTATTATTTAAGTTGTTTATCCGCTGCTTAGTTTATCTTGATTTTGGTTTTAGAACTGTAATTAAGTTTAAGAAAAGTGGGATGTTACAATATTATCTTGCATTTGTAAACTTATAATTACCTATTTAAATACGCAAATTCAACATTCAGTTATCTATGCATGAACAATTCCAATATAATCTTGCATTGATATACTTTAAAGTACTTATTTAAAAAAAAAAAAAAATTGAACATTATCCCAGTCGCGCAATGCGCGTAAAAAACTAGTAACTCTAATAAAATGTAAAGTACAATTTTATAAAACACTCTGTATTGTAACTCACTCAAATTTGCTTCATTTAATATATGTTGAATACTAATAGAGTGACAACTATAACCAAGTTCTTATTCTCCCAAAATGTTGAATCTCCAATTTCAAGAGTTCTCATATCACGACAAGTATTTAGGAGTATGTAATAAATTACAATGACTCAATAACTCAACAAACATGGTCAAATGCCATAATCCACACACTGCTCCGCTACCAAGGTTCAAACCTTAATCTTTTCTCCTAAATATTGTATACTGAACCAATGAGGTAAGCTCGTACGAATCAACATGATAATTATGAGTTTTCAAGTTTGACTCTTTGTAAGAGACTAAGAGCGGTATATCGACGGATTTTACTCAAGGGGAATAAAATAAGAGTAAGGTGTAAGCTACACGACTAAACATAGTCACGGCAGAGTCAATGGTGATTTATTATATGCGACAAGTAGACAGCAAAAATGCATAAATTCCACTGTCCGTAGCACACTGGAATGGTTTTGCATGGCCCCTGGTTTTGAAACCTTTGACTTCCACGAACTATTTTTTATATAAACCCCACACCAGCATCTATGGAATCTTTGCCATTTCAGAGGGAAACATAATAATTATCTAATTAAAATGAATCCTTGGAGAGGTCGAGAAATCTCTGAAACATCAAAGAAGAAGAAGAAGACTAAAATGAGATCCAAGAAAAGAAAGAACAGTCTCAGAAGAGAAACAACGGTTCAGAAATTGTTCGAGACTTGCAAGCAAGTGTTTTCCGATGCCAAAGCCGCCGACGTTCCGCCGCCGGCCGACATCGAACGGCTCAAGTCTATTCTAGGTATGTTGTATATACATATTCACATTCAATTCGATCCATATATTATTCGTTTTCTGATATTTTATTTTACTCGGTTTTATTTAAGGAAATGTTGAATCATATTACATTTTCCATATATGGGTAATTTCATAATACCTAGTATAAAGTTTTTATTTTAGTATTTAATTTATCAGCATAAAGATTTAAGTTAACATTATATTTTATCAAATTAATTTTTATTTATAAAAATAAGACATGTAAATTAATTTTAAAACATTTTCAATGATAAATGATGCATGTTTAATTAATTTCTTGATATGTGGGTCTTAACCTAAGAATGTATTATTGGTTTGAATTTCTTTTACATACAAAGTAAATCTCTACACATTATATAGTCTCACACTCATCCTTGCAATAAGAATCTTTAAGTATTGTTTTAAATTTATTCGTTATTGTAATTTGTATTAGTTTTAATTATTAAAATTGTATGTTTTTAATTTATAATGTAAAATTTTTAACTTTATAAATGTATAAATAATATATAGTCTATCAATTATAGAATATGTAATAACTTTAAATTTTTATAATTATAATTAAAATTTTAAAAATTATAAATTACAATTTATATATTTAAAATGTTTTTAAAATTATTAATTTAAATATTTTAATAGATCAAAGTGGATCAAATTGGGCTAACATTTTAAAAATATAGTCTAACTAACACAACACAACCCACATTAGCTCTAGCCCACCTGAGTTTTGGTGACAAATTATTGTGTGGACCATGAATATCAGATACATTTTTAATATATTAAAAGTGTATTATTTTAATATAAGTACATTATTTTTGTACTGAAGGTACATTATATAAAATAATGTACCCTTAGTATATTAAAAATGTGCTTTCAAAAAATATACTTTACGTACATAAATAATGTACCCTTGGTACATTAAAAATGTACTATTTATTTATGGTCCACACAACCATAGTCCATTTAATAATGATTGAGTTTTGGTCAGGTCGGCATGGCACATTCCACTTGCTATCACTAATTATAACATATTCTAATTGAATGGAAAAAAGAAAGAAAGAAAAAAGGTGCTATTGTTAACGAATTGATACATCTCATCTGCAGAAAATAAAAAGTAAGTGCAGTAGTACTCCAGTTTAGATACTATAGCTTTACACTATAGACTTTACCCCTTTTTATCTCTAGTAAAGCAAGAGATATATACCATTATTTGGGAAAATGGTACTTTTTCTTTTTAAGTTATGGTGACATAATCTATTTTTTCTCTCAATTATAGGTGCATTATATTCACTTTTACTTTCTTAGTCATCACTAAATTAACTATTTTTACCCAAACACATTAGCTATTCACAGTTCTGACAGTAGAAATCTAAAATTCTAAAAAAAAATGAAGATTTTTTTTTTTTTTTTGGAATATAAGTTAAATCTCACAATATCGTTGTTCTTTTAGCTTAAACGTACAAAATAGAACAAAAAAAAAAAAAGTTTTTCTCAATTCTCGTTTATTGACATGCAATTAAGATATGGATCGGAAATTAGAATGGTCAGAAATTATAGGAATAAGGGTCAAATAGGCCATCCAACTGCACACACTAATGCAATTAGACCACTGAACTTAAAAAAACAACAATTAGGCCACTAAACTAATTAATTTCTTTCAATTAGTCTAATTTACAGGTTAGTAACAGGTCACCCAAAAATTTTAAAATAATTTTTTAAAAAGTTATTATTTAAAAATAATAAATTAACATATATTAAAAAAAAAAAAACGTTTCTTCGTCTCCGGCGGCCATGGAGACGAAGAAACGTTTTTATTTTTAAAATATATTTTAATTAATTATTTTTAAAAAATATTTTAAATTTTTGGGTGACCTGTTACTAACCTGTAAAACCTGTAAATTAGACTAATTGAAAGAAATTGGTAAGTTCAATGGCCTAATTGTTGTTTTTTTAGGTTCAGTGGCCTAATTGCATTATTGTGTGCAATTCAATGGCCTATTTGACCCTTATTCCGAAATTATATTATCTTATTTATTTCGTGCATTTGGATAAAACGATTGATGACAGAAAGATTTAGCTAATGCATCTAAAAAGTCTCTCATTTTTAAAAATTTTGGATACCAACCGTAAATAATTAATGTATTTGGATAAGAATGGTCACTTTGAAGATAATTAACTAAGGAATGAAAATAGATGCACCTCTAACTAAAAGGAAAATTAAGTTATATCAATACTCCATCTATTACATTTTATCAGTCTTGTTTATTATTCATTGGTCAAACAATTTTTTTATTCTTTATTTATTTCACTATTGGAAATTATGGAATTTTCGACTACCTGAAAATGATCTTAAATCAAGTCGAAAACCTTGTTCCGACTACTTTTGGTATCGGGAAAAACCTTTGTTGCTATTTCCGACCACTTTTTGCTTTTGAATTGATTTAAGATCACTTTCAGGTAGTCGGAAATTTCATAATTTCCAGTAGTGTTTTCTTTAGTATTTTAATTATTTTAATTTGATTTTTTTGTGTGTTTAATGATATTTTTAATGTAGTTTCTAAATATATAAACTTTATATATTAATACTAAATCTAATATTATGAAAAGTTGAAATAAAAATATTTTCAATCAAGTCTTGTTAATTGAACCAGATATATGAAATAGGGCAGAGGGAGTATAATTTAGTGGGGAAGTGTCATTTCATCCAAGTATTTTTTCTTTCTTTCATTTGCATGTGTTTGTAAAAGTGAGGGGTTGTTGAGGACAAGTTGAAAAGTCTCAAACAACAATAATGGTGCCATGGCATCTCCTTTATTCCAACAAGGAGAAGCTGATAGCGATCCATAACTATGCCATGGCATCCATTCGGTATATCGTGGACCATGGTCTAAAAACGACGCCATTTCTTTAATTAAGTAAAGAAACGGTTGTCATTATATCTTAATGAAGCCTATATTTTTGGTGTATTAATTACAAAATAAACTACAGTATATCTAAAATAAAACTGTCTCACATATTATTTTTATATTATTATTAAATTAAACTGTAATTGAATTAAATTGAAATAAAATTATAATTGTGTTGAAATGAAAATGCAGTGTATATAAAATGAAACTGAATAACAGTTTCACATATTTGATGTATATTGTCCAAAGAAACTGTAATTATAACCAAATAATATTGTAGTTGTGTTGTGATGAAACTATAGTGTATATAAAATGAAATTGAATAGCAGTTTCACATATTTGAGTGTATAATGTTGAATAAAACTGTAGTTAAATCGAAATGAAATTACAGTGTATATAAAATAAAACTGAATATATTATACAAACAAAGCTATTTTATGCGGAACGAGTGCCGTTTCTTTTGACATTGTTTGGACCATGGCCCACAGACGGTATAATTTGCCCATAGCATCACTTTACTCCAACAAGGAGAAGCTGATAGGGCCTATTTAGTAATTTGAAAAAAAAAATAGTCAATTATGATCACCTAAAAAAACTAAAAATGAATGGTAATAGTAACGAGTAATGATGGTATTGGTGATAGGGAAAATCATAAGAAGAATAGATGGGATATTTGGGAGAAGAAATTAAAGTTCGAAATCTTGGTATCGACAGTGTGAGAATTATGCTTAAAGTGGACAGATCCCTTGTATGTATCGGTATTTGGTGTAAAAGGTTTGGGGATGAATAAAATTTAGTGTAAGAATATATTAAGAATTTTTATTATTATTATTATTATTATTATTATTTGTGTAAAAATTTGATGCAAATATTTTGTGTTTAGGGTTAGAAATGTCAAATTGTGGTTAGTGTAAATTACACTTTTGGTCCTATGACTATAGAAGGCGTGTTAATTTTTGGTACGTGACTTTTAAAACTAACAATTTAGTCATTTAACTATGATTTTTTTAGCAGATTTGGTCCTTCCGGCCAAATTACCGGTGAAAATTGGCCGGAAAAATGTAAACTTTTTAAATTTTTTTATTTATGGGGGCAAAACGGTCATTTTATGTTGTAAAAAAAAAGGAAAATTATTTGTTATCACTGTTACGCTCTGTGTTACGCCCGCCGGCGGATAGGAAGTCCAGTTCGATAGCTCGAACTTGAGACAAGCAATGTTGAGTTGCGCCATGTCACCGGTTTCTAGAAACACAGAGCGTAACAGCAATCGCGATGGCTCGTGGAAATCATCTCACAATTTTGAATATAGAACTCGTCGACGTCAGTGAAGATCATCCATGTACACAAGCTATTAGCGTATATTGTGCTTCTTGAGGTGAAGTTCTCACAAATTTGAAGCAAAGATAGTCCTAAAGAAAAACGTAAAAGATAGTCCTTTTTTTTTTCTTTTTTTACAACATAAAATGACTGTTTTGCCCCCATGAATAAAAATTTTAAAAAGTTTATATTTTCCGGCCAATTTTCACCGGTGATTTGGCCGGAATGACCAAATCTGCTAAAAAATCATAGTTAAAGGACTAAATTGTTAGTTTTAAAAGTCACGTGCCAAAATTAACACGCCCCCTATAGTCATAGAACCAAAAGTGTAATTTGCTATTGTGGTTATAAATGATGACTTTTCTAGGTGTACTTTCATACTTTAATTTTAATTTGAAAAGTTAAAATATATTTTTAAATTTCATTTTAAAGTTGAAAAAGAATATTTATATTTTTCAATTTAAATAATATGGACTACGAATTCCTCCATTAACAAACAAGTCCATAGTGAACTTAGTTCCTTAGTTATAAGAGTCAAACAATTTAATCCCTAATTATACATAAAGCCATACAAACGACTAGAAATCTTTGATTTTTTTACACTTTTCTGACCACTTACAAATATGGTCGAAAAAGTGATATTTTTTAAATTTTTTCGAAGGATTATGGTGTGGAAATAGGTCAGAATTTCTGACGACTTTTATTTAGTGGTCGAAAATATCGATCACAAAGTAAAGGTGGTCGAAAAAAAATTTCAATAGTTTAAATTTTTTAAACTGAGTTAGAAATTTCTGTCAATCTTTCAAGTACTCAAATTTTCCAACGACTTTACACAATTAGATGTTATTTCCGACCACTTTGTCTGGTGGTCGAAAATAGCGATAAAAGTTTTTTTGGATACCAAAAGTGATCGGAAAAAGGACTTCCGACTTGATTTAAGATCACTTTCAGAGCTTCAGATGGTCGGAAATTTCATGATTTCCAACAGTGAAAGTTTAGTGATTAGAGGACTTTGGGTCACAAATTTTGTTACTTTTACACGTGTTTGACATGTTATACCAATGTTGTTTATATTTGACACTGATGACCAGAATATGTGTAAATTTTAAAACAACTAAACTTTGGTGCATAACTAGAGCAGTTGGTTCATTTACTCTAGTAATTGAGGACTAATTTGACTATTCTATCTATTTTAGATAGTAAGTGTTTGGTAGGACGGAATTGTAATTTCATTTCTACCAAACTTAATGGAATAAAAATTTCATTATTTTGTTGGGGGATTACAATTCTTAGGTTCTCCATAATTGCAATTTCATAGTAAATTACGATTTTGACATTATTATTATTATTATTATTATTATTATTATTATTATTGTTGTTGTTGTTGTTGTTGTTGTTGTTGTTGTTGTTGTTATTATTATTATTATTATATAAGGACATTTTAGTCTTTATTGACTTATCCCCTTTCAATTCTCAGTAATTTTATTTTTGTTTACCAAATAATGAAATTCAAATTTCTACCTCATTCTTTTTTTTTTTTTTTTTGGAATAACAATTTTTTCCTCCTAATTTCCTCTAACGCCCCATAAAACTAGAATATCAAATAGTTCAAATTTCAAAGGCTAGTGCTTGAGTGCATCCTGCACCAATGCCATCATTCTAAATGAATATGTAATCCTCAACATTGCATATAATAAACACTTAGGGTTTGTTTGGTTCAAACAATAGAATTAAAATGGTAATGGTAATGGATTTAAGTAGAATGGATCACTTTGGAATTGGTAGTAAATAGGAATTGGCCTGGAATCAAAATAAATAAAATAAATAAATAAATAATTAATTAATTAAAATAAAAATAAATAAATATATAAAAATATATAATAAAGATAGATACACATACATATATGTGTATATATATAATGCATGAACAATAATCTTTTTTTTTTTTAATTTTTTTTTTCATTTTTTTCTCCCTTATTTTTTATTCTATTGTTCAAAAGTAGAGAAGTAAAAGTGTAATGAGTTTTGTAGTTATTAAATGATTTGATTCAAATAGTAGGATAACAAATGTTAACAAATTAAACATGATAATGAATATCAAAACTTATAGTAGGGTGTAAAAATCTCCAACCAAACACACCCTTAAAATTAACAAAATTAGTTTTATTAATGAAGCCAAATAAACACATAGAACAATCTATTTTGAGAAAGAAAAAAAAAAAAAAAAAACACACACACACACGCACACACACGGGCACACACATACTTACAATCTAAGGGTGTGTTTAGTTCACACATGGGAATCAGAATCGAAATTAGAATCAAATACTTTGTAATGGTACTGTGTTTTGATAAAAGTATTTTGCATGTTTGGTAGTATGGTAGAATTGGAATGATTACCAATATGGATGTTTGGTTATGTATGACCCTATAATAGAAATAAATATTTTAAAAATACAAAAATGTAAAATTTAAAATTAAGTAAATTGATCATAATATAATGACATCAAAAGCACCAATATGAACAAAAAAAAAACAAAAATAAGCACTAATCCATACTTAAAAATCAAATTACCAATAAGATGGCCGGAATAATATTCGTTTTTAATTAAAGGGGCAATTAAATCTCATAGTTGTATTTTAAAAATTGTCAACCAAACATTAATTATGATTTTGTTTCACTTTCTTGGTATGTAAACTTATGACCAAAACACACCCTGAATGAGCATTCTATTTTGTAACAAAATGTTGATGTTGATGGTGACGTGTATGTCTTACTTTACATATATGCAGATGATTTGAAGCCTGAGGATGTGAATCTTCAACCAAATATGAATATTTTCGAGACAACTGAAACTCAACACCCTCCAATAGCCTACATTCACATATACGAAAGCAACAAATTTTCAGTTTAGTCTCTATTTTTCTCATCACAAATTATAATGCAAAACATCCTTCATTATACTGCATGCAACATAACTTTTTTTTTTTCTTTTTTGTTGCAATTGTGGTAGTACAACTTATTGAACAGATTAATTCTAGTTTTGGTCATTCAATTATTGGTTTTTCAATTTTTGTGCTCGAGTTTAAAATCGACCAGTTTTGGTCTTTGACCATTGAAAATCTATCACATTTAGTCATTCAACAAATGTGGCACATTTTTAATAGTTAAAGACCAAATTTAGTTGATTTTGAACTTAATGATCAAAATTCGAAAAACACAATAGTTAAAGAATTACAATTAGAATTAACTCATATTATAAAAAGTAAATAAATAAAAGGGGCTGGGGTAGGGGAGGAGGGCAAAAGACACTTTTTATCCTTGAATTGTAAGGGAATAACACTTTCAATTCCTAAATTGTACTTATCATCATTTTTTCTATCTTAATTGTCTGCAAAGTGATTTTTTGTGGTTAAAAAAAAAAAACCATTTTTGCAAACAATTAAAGAACAAAAAATAATGTCGTGGGTGATTTTATAATTCACAATTATTATTATTATTAAATGTTCTATTAGATGGGTATACATATATATGTGTTAGAATTGAATTGAAGTATGAATGTGATGGAGTAATAAATAAATTGATGCAGATTGGGATTTTCTGCTTACCAGCTTCTGGTGTTATTCCGCTTCATAATCACCCTGGCATGACTGTGTTTAGCAAGCTTCTGTTTGGATCAATGCAAGCCAAGTCATATGATTGGGTTGAAAGAGTTGCCACATGCAATAAACACAATGGGAAGAACCTCCAACAAGGTATATATATATATATATATATATATATATATATATATATATATATATATATATCCATACATATATATATATAATCCATACTTTTAACAAACACGGGACATTGTTCTAATGGATGAGTTGGCCTGGGGCCGGGGCTTGGGCTTGGCAATTGGTCTAGTATATGTTTTACGAAAATCTATATTTTCTTAATGAGATTGTTGGGCAGAGGCGGGTAATCGGTCAAGTTCAGAAATTGGTGGCTAGAGAAATTTGTGGGCGGAGGTCTAAGTGTAGTAACTTACATCTTGAAAATGTGATGACGATTTATAAGGAAATAAAATTGCGTCTTCCCTACAAGCTATAATTTTGGCGTAGTGGTAAGCACTTATTCTTAACAAGCTAAGTTGTATCAGGATCCGGTCGCAAGAGCAAAAATTGTACAGTTAATTAAGGCTGGGAAATTGTTAGATGGAGACCAATAATGAGCCAAGTCTAGTAATTAGGGAACGCTATGCGGTGAGCACCTGCCCACCTTGCAAGGTGGGCACGGTTCCATATATATCAATAATTTCTATATTGTAGATTCATAATTTCTATACTGTAGATTCATAAAATTTACTTTAGATTCATAATTTCTATACAGTAGATTCATAATTTCTATGCTGCAAATTTATAAGATCTGTACTGTAAATTCAGAATTTCTAAACTGTATAGTTATCAAATTATGAACATATAGTTCTCTGATTTGTAAAAACAGAGTTCAAAAATTGAAATCTAAAGTATAAATTTTATGAATCTACAGTATAGAAATTATGGATATGGAACCGTGCCCACTTTGCAAGGTGCGCACGTGCTCACATTGCAAAGTGAGCACGTGCTCACAGCATAATTATTTACCAGTAATTGGTGGCTAAGGAATCTTGACAGATGTCGATAATGGGCCAAGTCCAACAATTGGTGACTAGAAAATCTTTACTATAAACTATAGCTTTCAGCGTAATGGTAAGCGCTTATTCCAAACAGAGGTATTGAATTTGTACAGGGTTGTGTCACCAGTTAGCACGAGTTCATGTTGAGAAAGAGCTGACAGCACCTTGTGAGGCTTCTGTACTGTTTCCAGCTGCAGGAGGCAATTTGCACTGCTTCAAGGCCATCACTGCTTGTGCCATATTAGACGTTCAAGGGCCGCCATATTCAGAAAGCGAAGGCCGCCACTGTACATATTACCAAGATTTCCCTTTTCCAAGATTTTCAGGTTGGTTTCTACATACTCCATTTTATTAATTTTCTTTACCATAAGTTTACCATTACGCTAAAAATTACAATTAGTAAAGAATCATTAACTTTATTTCCTTTTAGATGATCATTACATTTTTTTGAACTTGCATCTTTACTAGCATCCGCCCAACAATCCCTTCTCTAGCCATATGGCTACTATTACAGGCCTGGGTCCAACATTGTTTTATATATATATATATGAACATGTGCTTAAATGAGAACGTGAAAACACATCATGTGCATCCATCTAATATTTTTTAATGGTCTAGATTAGATTAAGTGTGTGTGAACGCGCATTAAATGTGTGCGAACACGATTTAGTGTGTTTGCACACATTTAATGCGCGTTTACACACACATAATCTAATCTAAACTATTAAAAAATATTAGATGGATGCACATGTGTTATCACGTTCTCACCGAAACACATGTTCTCATATGATCCTAACTATATATATATATATATATATATCGGCGCCCTGTTCCCATGCGGCGGTGCGAATTGCACTACTAGGTATGTATAATGTACTACATCGTGATTAGAAATACACTAGAGTGAAATGCACGAATGCGCTACAAAAATGCATCACAACCCTGGGACATGCGGTCATGCACCATTAGATATGTATAAATGTAACACAATATGTTCAGAAATGCACCAGGGTAAAATTTCACACCCTGGTTCATTTCTGAACACATGGTGGTTCATTCTTGCATACTTAGTGGTGCATGATCGCCCGTCCGCACGCATGGCCGAATTTTGGGCCGTGCAAGAAGGGCAACAGCACATGACCTCAATTTTTAGAGAGCCACATATTTATTTTTGGCCCAGCTACTCAAGAAATAAAAAAATCTGCAGGCTTAAAATTCTATTAGTTTTTTCCAAAATCATTTCTCTCATAATAATTAGGACTTAATTAATTGAGCATGATATAACCATTCTCATATATTTTACAGTATTGGTATTAAAGATTGCGCTTATACTTTTCGTAGAGTCTCATTTATTTATAAGAACCGGGTTACAAAAATTCAAAACCCGGCGCTATCTGCACGAGAAGGTCTGTCCACATTGTAGTATTATATATATTACGTAATCGGATTGCTTTAATTTGCATTGCAGATAGTGTAGAATTGGAAGCTGATGAGGATGTGAAAAGTTATGTATGGCTTGAAGAGAGGGAGAAGCCTAAGGAGTTTGTGGTGTATGGTGCACATTATACTGGTCCAACAATTGTAGGAATTAGGGACTGAATTATTATTCAACATCCCATCCCACCCCATTGGTCTCTTCATTTTTATTTTTCTTCAACAATGTGATAAATCATATGCAGGGACACTCTTGGAGAAATGTCATGAATGGGGATAGACTCAAGCTCTGTTAGATTAGTTTCATCTTACGGGATACAGATATAAGTGCACTATGCACACAAAAAAAGAAAAAGTGATAATGTAATAAATTGGTTACATACAAGTATTACAAATCAGATCAGCAATTGCTTTTTTATTTTTATTTTTTAAAACTACAAGCTAACATATCTATAGTATTACAAATCAGCACTAAAGTGAGAAATGATGAAGCTATTTTAACAATTCATTGAAGCCTCTAGAGACAAAGACCTCATGGATCAGGTCTCAAGTTGATGAAACCTGTAGAGCATTTACCATGATTAACGATCGTACAAAGCCATCACACACCACCTGGAGAAAGGTTTGCCGGACTAAACCTCAAGATGGTTTTGTTAAGTTGAATGTAGATGGGGCAGTGGATCAGAAGTCGAATAGAGCAAGATGCGGTGGTGTCGTCCGTGATAGTTCAAGCCGATGGATCAAAGGTTTCTGCTACGGCATCGGAAATTTCACTCCCCCTGAAGCTAAGGCATGTGCCCTCCTAAAATGAATTCAACTTACAATATCTATGGGCTTCAAAAGAGTAGTAGTAGAGAGTGATGCCCTGGAGATTATCAACTTCATTAATAATCCCAAACCACCCACTATTGCGCCTCACAATATATTGAAGCTTGCAGGAGAGAGTTGAGATATTTTGAAGTATGGCAAGCTGAATCTATTGCTAGGGAAAGCATCCAAGTAGCTAACTATTTGGCTGGTCACTCTAGTTTCAACCATAATGGTATTCAAGTTTTAACCTCACCACCTGAAGAAATGTTTGGCCATTTGGAAGATGACCTGGATGGGATTCCCCACGGGTGTCACATGTATAAATCATCTGATATACTTTTGTAAATCTCGGGTTTTCCCCCACCATATTAATATAAAAATATAGTATGAGAGATAAACGTAAATTATAAAAAAACTTTCATCTACCTCTATTTAGTACTGAATATTTTTCTTGTATGTCAAGAATTTTGTTTTGATTCCTTAAATTATTCTCACTACATACATATAGACATGTAAGTATTAATAGCCTATTTGATACCTGAAGAGTTTTAAAAATATTATTTGCTTTAATTTGATCATTTTGTTCCTCTTATGCTAGAGCTCTTTCGAGATTCTATGGATGGTGGTGCATGCCCGTTCTTAGTTGGTGGAGCGATTTGTCTGGTTAAACGACGCATACCAGGGATCGGAAGATGTTGCTTTTAGGACTCCGTCGACACCTTATGAGAAATAAAAGTCTTTGGGTTCTCGGGGATGTATGGTCGCAAGGCTGAAACTAAAAGGAATTAACAGAAGGACACTACTTGGAGTGGAGCTTGCGGCTTAATTTGACTCAACACAGGGACCATCACAATGCTTTGTTTTAATTAAACAGTGGAATTCCCCATGTTTGTACGACTTCTAAGTTGGCTATTTGACGCTCGGGGAAGGCCCTCGAAGGAGCCGTTCTCAGTCCGTCCCTTTAAAGGGATCGCTCCACCAACTAAGAACGACCATGCACCACCACCCATAGAATCTCGAAAGAGCTCTCAGTGTGAAGGGGGTGAAGATCGTGAAAGCCAGTGTGGAGGAAGCGCCTGTTAATGTTGGTTCTCCGGCCAACGTTGATGTTGTGCCTCCGGGTGTGGCCGCTGAGGCTTCCCCGGTTGAATCTACTAGACCCGTGGGTGAGTTGGAGGATGCGGGTGGCTCTCGGTTTGAAGACTCCGGTGATTGCAATGGCAGTTCGCAGATTGGTTTAGGTGGTAAGGTTGCTGCTCCGGTCGATGAACATCCTCTGGAGGATGCTTTTGGTGTTAGGGAATTATCTGGTAATCCTGAAGCGAGCTTGAACATCACCAAACGGAAAAAGAAGAAGAAGAAGGCGGCCGGCATGGAGTCCACTCGCATGGACTTCTAACTGGGTTGTTCCTCGACTTCTACCGGCGGTGGGATGGATTCTGCCGGTGTTGACTCTACCGGGTTGGATTCCTCATCGTTTCTATGTTATTTTTGGTCTTTTTTCGCATTTTCTGTGTTTTGGATCTTTTTTTGGGTTCTCCGATCTGTTCTCCGGCTCATCGCAACCTCGTTTGGTGCTATCGGCGGTCTCGTCGCTTTTCCGGCGGGGTTGCTGCCGCCGGCGGTGTTAATTATTGCATGTAATTAGTTTGGGCGGTGGTAGCATTGGAACTCTTCTCTTGGGTGGTGCAAGATCTTGCATGGGAACTCTCATGGCATTTGAATTTCAAATCTTCTGATGATTGAGTTGGCCTGATCGGTCAACGGAGACACGTAGCTTAGAACCGGGTTGACCCGTTCTCTTGTGGGTTGACCCGCGTGTTGGTGCCTTTGACTTTTGTATTTTCTTTGTTATGATGCGTTCAAGATCGCTTGTTGGTGGACTGGCTAGAATGTGTGTGTTGCTTGCTTAGACCTGTGTTCAACTCCTCATGAGGTATTTTTTTTGGTGGTGTCTGTTGCTGGCCTTCGTAGACTGATGTCCTAGGGTGGCGGTGATCAACCCGTTCTCATTCAGCTTGACCCGCTAACTGGATATATTGATATTTGAAAATTTCTTGCGACTAAGTTAACAAGTTCGATAGTTGGTGGAATGGTCTGAGCGCGTGACAGCTTATTGGTTGGTCTGGGTTCAATTCCTTGTGAAGGCATTTGGAAGATCTCTTGCTATTTTGCTTAGACTATGACCACATTTAAATATCTCATTTAATTAGTTATAGTCCGGTTTGCTTCTCTTCTCTACATGTACTCAGGGGTATGCCCCGGTGATGCTTGTATTTGAACTTTTGATTTTTATTTACATTCCGCATTCATCGAAAGAGCTCTCAGTTTGGCAAGAGTGTTTCACTCTCTAGAGAGAATTCTCTTGATTCTCTCTAGAGTGTCAGGCCAAAATGAGTTCTCTCATTGATTTTCACCAGTGAACGAAGAATTCATTTTGACCCACTGAAAAGTCTTCACGTTTTTTTACTGATTTTAGCGATTGAGAACTCTTTCGAGATTTTATGGGTGGTGGTGCATGATCGTTTTTAGTTGGTGGAGCGATTTGTCTGGTTAAATAATGCCTACAAGGAATCGGCGGATGTTGTTTTTAGGACTCCGACGGCACCTTTTGAGAAATCAAAGTCTTTGGGTACCGGGGGGAAGTATGGTCGCAAGGATGAAACTTAAAGGAATTAACGGAAGGACATCACAAGGAGTGGAGTTTGCGGCTTAATTTGAATCAACACAACGACCATCACAATGCTTTGTTTTAATTAATCAATCGAATTCCCATTATCCGTACCACTTCTGAGTTGGTTGTTCGACGCTCGGGGAAGGCCCCCGAATGAGCCGTTCTCAGTCCGTCCCTTTAAAGGAATCCCTCCACCAACTAAGAACGAACATGCACCACCACCCATAGAATCCCGAAAGAGCTCTCAAAATGTTCAAGAAAGGAAACTTGGTGTGATGGCCGAGATCTATGGAAGGAATCCGGAAGACCAGGAATCGAATCCTGGAAAGAGCATTTTTGGAAATTGCATGGAATACTAGCCATCACGTGGGGAAGATTGATCTGCATGCATGTTTGTATTGAAAATCAAGAGAACGTGTGGATTATGAAGATGACTGCGTGATAGGGGCTGCTGAAGATGTTGTCTTTTCTGATGTGGACGCTGACTGGGCTGCTGACTGGATGATGTGGGCTTTGACTGCGTTGACCAGGAAGAAGCTGAAGAAGTTGACTATGCTGATGTGGATGCTGACTACACACATGACTAGGCTGTTGACTGGATGACGTGGACCTTTGACCGCGTTGACTGGGAAGCAGCGTGTGCTTTCGGGACACTGTGTAGTTGTGCTTCAATTTTTTTTGATGTCATTTGGTTTTTGATGTTTTTATTCTTGGTTTGTTAATATGTAATATATATAGTAGTCTTAGGCTTGGGAGGAGAATCCTCCCTAGCAGTGACTAGATTAGTGCTTTTATAGCCCACTTCACCCAATCGATGAGGGTCGAGTGGGCATCATCTCCGGGGTATGCCCCGCGTACACATGTACACCCTTCTTGCTTTTATTTACATCTCCATTCACCGAAAGAGCTCTCAATAGTAAAAAGCCCTCAGTCTGGCAAGAGTGTTTCTCTCTCTTGATAGAATTCTCTCGCTTCCCTCTAGAGAGCCAGGCCAACATGAGTTCTCTCATTGATTTTCACCAGTGAACGAACAATTCATGTTGACCCACTAAAGAGTCTTCACATTTTTTTTTACTGATTTTAGCGACTGAGAACTCCTTTGAGATTTGATGGGTGGTGGTACATGATCGTTCTTAGTTGGCGGAGCGATTTTTCTGGTTAAACAATGCCTACAAGGAATCGGCGGATATTGCCTTTAAGACTCCGCCGACACTTTATCAGAAATCAAATTCATTGGGTACCGAGGGGAAGTATGGTCGCAAACCTAAAACTTAAAGGAATTAACGGAAGGACACCACCAGGAGTGGAGCTTGTGGCTTAATTTGACCCTACACATGGACCATCACAATACTTTATTTTAATTAAACAGTCGAATTCCCCTTGTCCAAACCACTTCTGAGTTGGTTGTCCGAAGTTCGGGGAAGGCCCTCGAAGGATCGGTTCTCAGTCCGTCCCGTTAAAGGGATCCCTCCACCAACTAAGAACGATCATGCACCACCACCCATAGAATCTCGAAAAAGCTCTTAGTAGTAAAGAGCTCTCTATCTAGCTAGAGTGTTTCTCTCTCTAGAGAGAATTCTCTCGCTTCTCTCTAGAGTGTCAGTCCAACATGAGTTCCCTCATTGATTTTCACCAGTGAACGACCAATTCATGTTGACCCACTGAAGAGTCTTCACGTTTTCTTTACGGATTTTAGCGACTGAGAACTCTTTCGAGATTCTATGGGTAGTGGTGTATGGCTGTTCGTAGTTGGTGGAGCGATTTGTCTGGTTAAACAATGCCTACCAAGGATCGACGAATGTTGCTTTTAGGACTCCACCGACACCTTATGAGATATCAAAGCCTTTGGGTTCCGGGGGGAGTACGACAGCACAGTTGAAACTTAAAGGGATTAATGGAAGGACACCACCAGGAGTGGAGCTTGCGGTTTAATTTGACTCAACAGAGTGACCATCACAATGATTTGTTTTAATCAAATGGTCAAATTCACCCTGTCTGTACCACTTATGAGTTCGACGCTCGGGGAAGACTCTCGAAGGAGCCGTTCTCAGTCCGTCCCTTTAAAGGGATCGCTCCACCAACTAAGAACGACCATGCACCACCACCCATAGAATCTCGAAAGAGCTCTCAGTGTGAAGGGGGTGAAGATCGTGAAAGCCAGTGTGGAGGAAGCGCCTGTTAATGTTGGTTCTCCGGCCAACGTTGATGTTGTGCCTCCGGGTGTGGCCGCTGAGGCTTCCCCGGTTGAATCTACTAGACCCGTGGGTGAGTTGGAGGATGCGGGTGGCTCTCGGTTTGAAGACTCCGGTGATTGCAATGGCAGTTCGCAGATTGGTTTAGGTGGTAAGGTTGCTGCTCCGGTCGATGAACATCCTCTGGAGGATGCTTTTGGTGTTAGGGAATTATCTGGTAATCCTGAAGCGAGCTTGAACATCACCAAACGGAAAAAGAAGAAGAAGAAGGCGGCCGGCATGGAGTCCACTCGCATGGACTTCTAACTGGGTTGTTCCTCGACTTCTACCGGCGGTGGGATGGATTCTGCCGGTGTTGACTCTACCGGGTTGGATTCCTCATCGTTTCTATGTTATTTTTGGTCTTTTTTTCGCATTTTCTGTGTTTTGGATCTTTTTTTGGGTTCTCCGATCTGTTCTCCGGCTCATCGCAACCTCGTTTGGTGCTATCGGCGGTCTCGTCGCTTTTTCGGTGGGGTTGCTGCCGCCGGCGGTGTTAATTATTGCATGTAATTAGTTTGGGCGGTGGTAGCATTGGAACTCTTCTCTTGGGTGGTGCAAGATCTTGCATGGGAACTCTCATGGCATTTGAATTTCAAATCTTCTGATGATTGAGTTGGCCTGATCGGTCAACGGAGACACGTAGCTTAAAACCGGGCTGACCCGTTCTCTTGTGGGTTGACCCGCGTGTTGGTGCCTTTGACTTTTGTATTTTCTTTGTTATGATGCGTTCAAGATCGCTTGTTGGTGGACTGGCTAGAATGTGTGTGTTGCTTGCTTAGACCCGTGTTCGACTCCTCATGAGTTATTCTTTTTGGTGGTGTCTGTTGCTGGCCTTCGTAGACTGATGTCCTAGGGTGGCGGTGATCAACCCGTTCTCATTCAGCTTGACCCGCTAAAGAGTATTCACATTTTTTTTTACGGATTTAAGCAACTGAGAACTCTTTCGAGATTCTATGGATGGTGGTACCACGATCGTTCTTAGTTGGTAGAGTGATTTGTCTAATTAAATGATGCCTACAAGAAATCGGCAGATTATGCTTTTAAGACTCCGCCGGCACTTTATCAGAAATCAAATTCTTTGGGTATCGGGGGGAAGTATGGTAGCAATGTTGAAACTTAAAGGAATTAACGGAAGGACACCAATAAGAGTGGAGCATGTGGCTTAATTTGACTCTACACTGTGTCCATCACAATACTTTATTTTAATTAAACAGTGGAATTCCCCTTGGCCAAACCATTTCTGATTTGGTTGTTCGACGTTCAGGGAAGGACCTTGAAGTAGGTGTTCTCAGCCCGTCCCTTTAAAGGGATCTCTCCACCAACTAAGAACGACCATACACCACCACCCATAGAATCTCGAAAGAGCTCTCAGTAGTAAAGGGCTCTCAGTCTGGCTAGAGTGTTTCTCTCTCTAGAAAGAATATTCTCGCTTCTCTCTAGAGTGCCAGTCCAACATGAGTCTCTCATTGATTTTCACCAGTAAACGAAAAATTCATGTTGACCCACTGAACAGCATTCACGTTTTTTTACGGATTATAGCGACTGAGAACTCTTTCGAGATTCTATGAGTGGTGATGCACGATCGTTCTTAGTTTGTAGAGCCATTTGTCTAGTTAAACGATGCCTACAAGGAATCAACGGGTGTTGCTTTTAGGACTCCGACGACACCTTATGAGAAATCAAAGTATTTGGGTACCGGAGGGAAGTATGGTCGCAAGGCTGAAACTTAAAGTAATTAACGGAAGGACAACACCAGAAGTGGAGCTTACAGCTTAAGTTGACTAAACATAGGGACCATCAAAATGCTTTGTTTTAATTAAACAGTCGAATTCCCCATTTCCGTACCACTTCTGAGTTGGCTGTTCGAAGCTAGGGGAAAGCCCCAAAGGAGCTGTTCACAATCCGTCCCTTTAAAGGGACCCCTCCAACAACTAAGAACGGCCAAACACTACCACTCATAGAATCCCGAAAGAGCTCTCAATAGTAAAGAACTCTCAGTCTGGCTAGAGTGTTTCTCTCTCTAGAGAGAATACTCTTGCTTCTCTCTAGAGTGCTAGTCCAACATGAGTTCTCTCATTGATTTTCACCAGTAAACGAACAATTCATGTTGACCCACTGAACAGTCCACACGTTTTTTTACAGATTATAGCGAATGATAACTCTTTCAAGATTCAATGGGTGGTGATGCACGATCATTCTTAGTTTTTGGAGCGATTTATCTATTTAAACGATGCCTACAAGGAATCAGAGTATGTTGCTTTTATGATCCGCAGGCAGCTTATGAGAAATCAAAGTCTTTAAGACCGGGGGGGGAAGTATGGTCGCAAACCTGAAACTTAAAGGAAATAACGGAAGGACACCACCAGGAGTGGAGCTTACAGCTTAAGTTGAATCAACATAAGGACCATCACAATGCTTTGTTTGAACTAAGCAGTCGAATTCCCCATTTCCGTACCACTTCTGAGTTGGCTGTTCGAAGCACGGGGAAGGCCCCCAAAGGATCAGTTCACAATCCGTTCTTTTATCGGGACCCCTCTAACAACTAGGAACTGCCATGCACCACCACCCATAGAATCCCGAAAGAGCTCTCAATAGTAAAGAACTCTCAGTCTCCCTAGAGTGTTTCTCTCTCTAGAGAGAATTCTCCCGCTTCTCTCTAGAGTTCCAGTCCAACATGAGTTTTCTCATTGATTTTCACCAGTGAACGAACAATTCATGTTGACCCACTGAAGAGTCTTAACGTTTTTTTTACGGATTATAACGACTGAGAACTCTTTCGAGATTCTATGGGTGATGATGCACGATCGTTCTTAGT